TGTAAACTGGCCTCCTGCCAACATCTCTGACCTCATCACTATTCGTTTTGATCGCTATGTCCCAGTCACACTGTCTTCCCTCTGTGGCTCAAATACCCCTGTGTGTGACTTTACTCATAGCCCTTGCTGCTTCTCCACTTGGTACACATTCTTCCCAGATCTTTACAGATAGGTTCCTTCTCTTCCCTTTCCTCTCAGCTTAGATATCACCATTTCCAAAAAGTCTTCACTCATTATGGGAGCAAAAGTAGTCACCCAACTTACTGTCTCTCTTCACACCATTATCCTCTTTTATTTTTTCTTGGATCTTACCACTACTTGAAAATTCTATTTATTTTTTATAAGTTTATTGTCAGCTTCACCCCCCCCCCAAGTAAAATGTGAGTTCCACGAGAACTGACAGATAGGGTGTTTCTTTCCTCAAGTCCCAGAGCCTAGAACAGTATTGGGGCACATAACAGATTATTCAAATACGTGCTGAATGAATGTAAACTTATTAACATCAGGAGCCTAGTTTTCCTTCTGTGTCACATTTATACATAAAAATCTTTGGGGAAAATTTGTATTTCTAACATTGGCCATCACCAATCTGTTTTCCATCTATTTTAGAATGTGATAAGCAGTCTTCAAAATGTAAGCCTATTTCACATTTCATTTTATGCAAGAATCCCCTGAAGGAAATGAGTTTAGGTTCCTACTTCCACGCAAATTTGTGGCAATGCATAAATATTTATATAGAATGTAAAACCTGCCAATATCACTTGAAGCCAAATTGTGGATTTTCATATTGGAAATCACACTCATTCAATGAAAACATCTAGACATATAAGTCCTTAAAAAAATATCTGATTCTATAATTTTCCTAGTTTGAAGAATGTTTTAAGGCCCATTCTTCATGGTTAATCACCTGTCTGTTAAGGCCAGAATAAACTGGCACTAAAATGCAGGCTCATGTAAGAATACAAGTATGATTTCTCTGGCCTTTCTATTTGTACAGTGCCAATCTCCTTCCATGTCAAACCTTCAGCCACATCTGGGTTCCATGCATATAGGCTTCTCTATTTATGTTGGCTGAGTATGTGCCATGGACACCTGGTGAACAGCACAAAAGTGCTGCAGATCACTGACAACTGAGGTACTGCTGTGCCAAACTTCCTGCAGCTGTTCCCCAATGCTGTGCTCTGTCAGAAGGCAAATCCCTGCCAGAAAGAACCTTAGACTTGTGGCAAGCTTATAGGCCTCAGCTTGCCTCAAGTCTAAGGTTCCTTCTGGCAAAGAATCACAAGGAAGGTGCTAGGCAGGTTCCAGAGAGCTAGGACATAGGAGAGACTCAAACTTTTACATGTACCACATAATCCATCATGAACCCAGAATAATGGCTGCCAGTGTCTTGTCCACCAGATGCAACCTCCCCATGCTCACTCATGTGTCTCTTTTAAGTGTTTCTACATCTCTCTCTTACATGTGTCTCCTTCCGTGTACCAGCAATACCAGGGTATAAGTCAGGCCAAAAAATCAAGAGAAACATGAACACAAATGTGTTCAGTTATAAGTTAAGCACAGCCAATTAACTGCCTCTAGGCCCCAGCAGTCCCCCATTCAGGGCATCAGGATCATGGCTCATTAGGAATTGTAATTTTTGCACCTAAGATCTCTTATGCATGGAAATGTGGGTAGTTTGTACAGATAAATGTCAGGGTGGGATTGTTCTCTAACAGAGTGTCCTCTTACTTCGCTCTTGAGTTATATGCTGATGTTCTGAGGCCAGTACAAATAATGTCAAATAGAGAAGTTTGCAAAAAGCAGCTATTTCAGATTTTATTCAAGGCTCCCTTTTCATAAAGCCCTACATAACTGGTGGGTTCAATAGCAAAGACTGGACAGATCCTGTGACTCATCCTCCAGTCTAATGCTGGTTATATGCTGGACTAAGCCCTGAACCTCTACTCTCTTTTCCCAAAAGAGGAAGTCTTCTTTGGAAGTTCCCCTTCCTCAGGCAAGTGCTGACTGTTCCAGCCCACATGACCTCCTCATATTCCAAATCTGTGGAGAATACATTGTTCAATAAAGCTAATAATTATAGCTAATATTTATTTGCAATTAATATATACTAGGGTCTCAGTTGAATATTATCAATCAGGAAAATGGGGGTGAAAAGCTTTAAAGACTTTCCCAAGTTCACATACTAAGATTTGAAGGATTCTGTAATTGAATACTGACTGATCTTTCTACTAAATCTAGAAGTTACACTCTTAACAAATATAGTATACTAGAATACTGGTCACATCACATAGAACATGCCTGGTACAGTGTGGGAGGGGCCTACACAAGGGTATGAATAACAGGAGACAAGGATCTTAGGTTGCTATTCTTGAGGCCAGCCAGCTACCACATCTGCCAGCACTTTAATACATTTCATCGAGGATTCTAACCTGAATCTGCATTCAACCATACACAACTGTTATAGTTTCTCTTATTTGCAAAATAAGAACATCCTAATTCAAAATCTCTAGGGTTGAGAGCCTCAGGCAACTGCTTCTCTTTAGGTTTTGAGTTCAACTTCCTTTTAAAATATTTAATTTATATCACAGTGACATTCAGAGAGTAACGCAGCACCACTTAGAACTGAAGGCACCACCCAGATTGGTCTTTGTCGGGTGTGGGTAGACAAGCTAAACACAAGGCTTGTGTTGTTCTGGCCATCTGCAACTTAGTATGTTGAATTGTTTTTAAGTCCTTTCTGGCGTATTTTCTGATCCACTGATAAGACTTTTTCACCTTGCTTGGACTGGACACAAGTCCAAATTCTTTTCATGAAAGCTTTCATTTATTTTGAAATATTAAAACAATTTTGAGAATAAATACAAGAAATATATTTACTTTTAAGAAGTATGGTTTTCTTTTCAGTTGGTTTAGGAGGATTGTTATTTTAGATAAGATTAAGTATATTTCTGAGCCCTGGCCATTCACCTCCAGGAGGCAGGATCAAACACTGTCAACAAAATGACCAGTATCTGTGTTAACATTTTTCTCCTAATAAAAACAATCTATGCTTTATAGAAATGTTTCTGTTTTCTTGGTTAAGTTTTCTTAAGTCAAACATGTAGCCAAGTTTTAGTTTCCTTTTTTATTTTCAATTTAGAATATAGTCACTATAAAATAATGCTTATCAAACAGGTTATCTTTTAAAATAATACATTTAGTTCTCCTGTTGCTGTCACTATTAAAATTTAAAATATTACATTGCAATGTTAAATTAGCAGCCTTAATTCTTAAAGGCTCTAAAGTTCTCCAATAAGGTAGTTATTAGCTTTATGTGATTAGTGAGTATTTAAAGTGTGGCTTTAGTACAATCCAATCACAATGTACTAAAAAAAAAACTGGATTCTTAAGATTTAGTCTACAGGGAATGAAAAATGTAAGATCAGTAATTTTTAATATAAGAAAGTGAAATGCCTCCATTATTTTTCCATTGAATACATGATGAACTGGTAGTATTCTAACAACATTGAATTAAATATATTCTGATGTTGACTTGGATTCACACATTTCTTCGTAGACTTTTTTTTTTTTAAGATTCATTTATTTGTACATACAGAACTGGGGTACAGGCCAGAGGCTCAGGGGTGGCGAGAGGTTTCATCAGAGACAGAGTGGGGAGCAGAACAGGCAGATCGACAAAGTACACTGCTGAGGGTAGCAGCAAACAGGAGAGGTCTGCCACACCTTGTGGTCACCTCCGGGGCAGGCGGGAATCGAACTCATGCGAAAGTGGCTTTAGCTTCTCATTGTTGTGCTTTAACCCGCTGCGCCACCAGGGAGGGCCCTCTTCGTAGACTTTTAATATTTAGTGTTGCCAGATAAAACATAAGGCTTCCAGTTACATGAATTTCTTACGTCCCTGCATAGATTTTAATACCATAAAATTGTTTATATAAAATTCAGGTTTTAACTAGTTTTCCTAAAATTTTATGTGTAAAAGTTGGTAATTTTCATTAGTATGGCTACTGGAAAATTTTAAGTTACAAAAGGAAACACTTATTCTACTGGACAGTGAAATTTTAGAATCATCTAATTTTGTTATTATTATTACAGTCAACTCTTGAGTTAACCCTGCAGAAATAACTAATCTGACGGGAACATTTAATCCTAGACTAAGATCACTAATAATCTCGAAGTTAAATTTTTACACTTGTTTCAACAAGTTAAAGGACAACAAAAGAGCCCACAATAAGGACATTTGGAGGAGAACTAATCCCAACTGATTAATTGTATTAATCCAAACCACCAATTAAAAGCTATTTGAAATAAAAGGTCATTGCTTCCAGCCTCAATTGGGGTACCTAACGGTTCCAATTTCAGGTTAACCACTGTCACTCTTACAAGGTGGGCGGTGTCCCAGGCAGTTAACCAGCCCGCGACTCCTGCCAAGTCACGCCCCAGCAGCCCTCCGCATGAAGTACGAAAGGGGTGGCACCTGCAGGAAGCGCGCTCGCGGTCTCCCGCCCACCGGTCTCCACCCTTGGCGCGGCGCTGGGAAAGTGAGTTTGGCCTCGGATGCCGGGTCAACTCTCCAGAACCTCGCTGCCTCGCCAGACAGTGCTGGCCCACTTTGGCAGTACCCTCGGGCCCGGTCCGCCCACCCGCCGTCACGTGCGCCCCAGCTCCGCCCGGGTCCGTGCCACTCGGCTGGCAGGCGGGGCGGGCCTTGCGGCCCAGGCTCAGAACCCGCCCCGGCCTCGCGCTCTATGTAAGGCCGGCCGCGGCGGGAGGAGCTCCGAGACCGTTCTGCCCGTGGACCGTCCCCCAGGTCCGTCCGCCGCTCGGTCGCGCGGTAGGTGCCCGGCGCGCACGCGCAC